AGACAGACAGACAGATAGATAGATAGATAGCTACATAGATGGAGAGGCAGACAGACAGACAGATAGATAGATACACAGGTAGGCATTTGGATAGATGGATGGATAGATAGATCGATAGCTGAAAAGGTTTTGCAATTGATCTGGGGTCTCTGGAAATGGATTCTTGTGTCTTTCCAACTATTTTATATATGGTGGAATTGAACTGTATTATAGGTACCTTTGTTCTATGAGGTAATCAATTGGTTGATTCGGCAGTATCTTACCATTAGTTATTTAATACATCTATTTGTTTCTACCATGGATAATCCTTTGTGCATTATTATTTTCACTCTTAGGCAACCAATTGGTTGATTAATGTGGTATCATCCCAGTATCGATTACGATTATTTTGTCCATCATATCATTTGGATAAACAGGGGTCCACTACCATGTCCCTTAAAGGGTGCCCGACCAATTGCTGGATTAACATGGAATGGGTATCATCCCTTTATAGGGTATGTACTATATCTATTTGTTTCAGCCACACTCATGTTTCTTCTAGGGCGGTGTCCCCATATACCTTTGGTATAAAGCCACCAATATTATCCCTGGTGATCACTCTTTTATCAAAATATTCAATTTCCCCATGATTTCTACGTATGCATCATATATCCTTTACATGCAATGTCCAATTATGGATTTTGCCAAACTCAGGGAGCAGAAATCTGCACCTTGACTTAGCCCAAAAAAACAAACATGACGATATCCTAGTTGCTCGGTGGGGTATTGCCTAAGTCAAGGTGCAGATTTCTGCACCTAGACTTCGGCAATACAGAGGTTGTACCCTGGGATTTTGCCGATATCAGGGTGCACAAATTTGCATGTGGCCTTGGGAAACAGCCTTACCTATTATATTCTACCATGATTTTTCCCGCAATGGATTCGGAGTCCTTGATTTTGAGATTTAGGGAAAAATTGCCGATCTTTTGGCTTGGGGGACCCCAAATCCATCGCCGCCGCAAATCCGTCGCATAACATTTTTTATTTGTTATTTTATATTTAAGTGTTCAACCAAAAAACTTATCTGAACTACGATCGAATTGGTGATCGTTTGTTCTGACTGGTACTTCCACGAGTACAGTAGAAGGGTAGATGGATGGAGAGGCAAATTGTCAGTCCCCTTCTTGGCATGACAATCGAATGGCGGATAAGAATTAATAACATTGACACATCCAAGGGACACTAACCAAAGACGATTTTTTCCTTTGGGATAAATTTCGCTAGTATATACCAAGGCCACCTACCTTGATAGATAAGACTCACGGCCAATGCAAAGCCTCTGGGTATTAGCGTATCCGACTAATTTTCAGGATATTCAGTTTATAGTCAGTTTCATGTTTTTTGTGAATGCATAGTCATCCTTTGGTCCATAGAATAGTTTCAATCATATTCCCATATTTTGTGAGGATGTTTGTTTTCGTGTGTTGTTTTTGATAACTAAATTTGTTGGTTATCTCATAGTGTGCAAATGTGGTGTTTTACAAAATATGGTGATGTATGGTTGAGCAACGGTTGACTAATACGAGGATCATGGGATCATTCTATCTGGATAACCAACAAAATGGTTGACTAATAGAATGACGATATAAGGATGATAAACGTGGGGTAATGATTAACCACTCACTACTTAAAAAAAATATATTGCACACAATAGTAACGATTGACAAATGGTATACTGAATATTTAGTGGTGATTATATATTTATATACAAATTATAATGAGAATGTATAAGCAACAATTGGGAAAATTCCACAGTAATATTCATTAGATTTGCTCTGTGATGTGAGATAAAACAATCATGATTTATGACATTATACAGTGATATGTGGAATCACCTGCATGCCACCCTTTGTGACAATGAAGATCTACAACATGAATAGTGATTTATGATGGTTTGTTTACCGTTCACACACTACTACAGAAGCCATTTTAATTCCGATATTATGGAATATCCCCATATTTCATCACCCAGTGATAGATGATTTCCCCATTATTTCATGGTTCGGTTAACTCCTTTAGGTCCACCATTTTTTTGATAGTGAAATAATAATGTTAACCTAAACCATAGATGAAATTGATGATCTATTTAACTATACATACCACCATTTTTATCCCGTTAAATGACGATGGCTCACCATTGGCTAAATCATGTATATATTGTCCCACTAATCTTCCCATCTATAGAGGACTTCCCAACTAAAAACTAGTAAATGCGTAATTTGTTTATCATACCATGGTTATATGTGGAATATCCCCAACCATATTTAGTGGGACACCAATCACGTTACATCAATCGTATTAAGATGAGTTTGTTTGACAGAAGGATATCCCCAAATCCCATAGTTTATCGTTATTTTCCTACGTATTCAAATTACTTTTCCTTGGCGTCTAACCCGTTTGCAGACAAACGCAGGTGACAGATCTCTACGAAGCAGCGCTGAGCGGTGGCTTGGAAGATATCGTACAGCCACTTGGACTGGATGAAGCGGTAACTCGGGTAGGTGATGTGATGCAGTGGTGATTTTAGAGCCATGAACAGTGGAACATTGTGTGTTTTCTTCAACATATTTCCAAATATGTCCAACTCTCAATCAAATTGTGTTTGCATGCGTTTTGATTTCAACATGTGCGATTCAAGACTGCGGATATGTTGCACGTTTTCATGCTGAACCACATTCCACTATCTACTTTCTGCACCAGTGAATGCCTTAACCACCTGTTTGAATTATTGAAATGATGTGCTGTTTCCATTTTGAAAATTGACCAGGTCATCGCCAAATTTGACATTTTTTTGGGAGGGTCATCGTGGACTTGGTTAAAAAAACATGTTGTGAAAACAACTAAGTGTAATGACTGACTGTAGGATCATACATATCCTGGAAGTGTGTAAACAAAAAAATGGCTGACCAGATTAATGCTTGTTTTGAAGGATCATCCGAGTTGTTAAATCCTTTTGTTTTCATGTCATGGTTAACACTCCCAAGTTCTGCTGATTCAAACCCTTACGTCCCTATGTTTCCTGGTGAAATCCGGATCACACTGGGAACATCCTGGAATTATGGAGGACAATCCACATTTTGTTTAAACCCCGAATTGGGGATGCTGTCAGGTGGCTTTCACCCCAGTTGGATGCATCCTTGAGATTTTGTTGTTTTCCTGGTGAACTCTAAATCTTAGCTCCTCAAAATCCACAGTTTGTTCCTATTTCCTCTGGTCAAAAAAAGAATTTCTGCCGGCTCAAACCGTACTTTCCTTGGTCAAAATTCTGATTGCATGCTGAAACCACCCCAATCTCTCTGAGTTTTTGATTCCCCAGGTTTTTCTCCAGGTTCAATCTTTCCATTTTTTCCAGAGTTCCAATCCCCAGTTCCATAGCGTCAAACGCCGCAGCCGTTCCCAGGCTCTGCCTTCGCTGGGGCTCCAGCTACGAGGCGCACGTGGCGCTCTTCGCCGCGGCACAGCTGGGCGACGCGGAGCGCTGTCGCCAGCTGCTGGCGATCAAGGCGGATCCGGCGAGGCGGGAGCAGGTCACCGGCTTCAGTGAAGCTTGGCGGTTGGGGGAAGCTTCCATGACATCGATTTTTTGGAGATCAACCATGAATTGAATGGGGATAATGGACGTGAAGCAAAGATGGTGATTTCTAGATGATTTCAAGAACAACAAATAGGGGAAATCACAGTTCATCAACAAGAGAGGGACTATTGTATTTTGACCATGAATGTTAGAGCATATGGAAACTTTGGGGATATGAACCATGAATTGCGTGGGGATATCTATGTGATATTTATGGGATTTAGTGATTTTAGTGGGATATTTATTAACCAAAGCCAAAGATTGTGATTTAAGCAACAAGAACAGGGGAACATATGATTTAACTAACAAGAGAGGGGATTTAAGCAATAACTAGTAAACGCTATTACCACCATTAATGTTAACTGTTAAGTTAGACCCTTATAGAAAATTGGAGAAACATGATAAAATGGTCATGGAATAATAACATATTTTTTGTTTTGCCATCGAAGATGATGAAGGGGTATCAACCATTGAAAATAATGAAGGTTATGTAAACCATGAAATACCTGATTATGTTGGATATTATTTGATACTATATAGTGATTCTATACATATATATATATAATTACAGTGGTATGTAGATACCATATGGATCCAGCCGTAGCTTCTGAGAAAGTATGACTGGGTATGATGACTGCAGGGTTTAGGAAGTATTTGGATCCATAGGGAGTCTTTCCTGTTGGTATGTGTTTTTCTTCTTTTTTTGGGGGGAAGAAAAATGCCGAAATAGGTTTTTTGCTGCAATTAAAAATTGTATAGTATGGTATTCACAAGAAATCATATAGACGGGGATATCAACTATAACAATAGTTGTTGACTGGGAATACTATGGGCCGGGATGTAGTTCGGATATGATCAAATATGATCAAATACATATTAATGATTATATATACAACCATTATATAAGTAACGGGAATGTTATTCACACATGATAGGGGTATCAACCCGCCATCGTTAGGATATGTTTGAGGATACATGGGCCATTAGGGGCCATCAATTTGAAAGTTTGTGGTGATGGATGGACAGTGGTTTGCAGGTGATTTTTGGGATGTTGCCGAGAGTTTATTTTGTTTGGCGAGATTTATGTAATTTTTCAGATTTTCCGAGGATCTCAGCAAAATTCTGGGCTTTGAAACCCTTGGCTACCGGGATGGATGATTGATTGCAGGTTGTTGATTTGTTTGCCAGATGTTTGCCTGATTTTTCTTGGCAACGACTTTTGCATGAGCATGCTGCTTGGACCTCTATATATATATATATATGCGACTTTTATGGCTTTCCATGTTCCATTTTCAGAGTGAAATTACAAATTCCTTCATAGCAACGGTTTCAGAAACATTGCAATTTGGGAGGGTTGTTCAATGTGGGGCCCCCTCGATAGCAAAGTTGGCTTATAACTCCAATAAGTATGGTTTATGATACTTATAACTTATAACTACAGCATTCATGGGGTCTTTAGACCAACTTATATAACTGTAACTGGCGGGACCCACATTGTACGAATGGTTTTTCACAATCGAAGCTCCCCGGAATGCTTAGGTGTTGGAATGGGCGGTGCTGGCCCCTGTGTCTGCTGATGTAGTAGTCTCCCTGCTCCCCTATGCTGATGCGGTGGCGATACAGTCAACCCTGCGGCTGTCCCTTGATATGTTCGGAGCTGTCTGGAGCCGGGATGGGTTACAATTGAGGCCCTTTACCAATTGTAAATGGTATATAAATGGTATTATATCAATGGGTACTGTATATTCTATGGGGTTATCATTCCATGAATGGGCTGACTTACTGACTTACAACTGGTATTTCAGGCCTTGACTGTACCTGGATGGGGAGCCAAAGAGCTTGGTTAACGTAAGCTACACCTCCCCGGTCCAGCGTGCTGACAGCGTGCTGACAGGTCAGCCATTTATGGTCGAAGTACTCTGCTCTACCATTTAATGTCAGCAGCAACTCAGCAGCAATAGGACCACCTGACAGCCCATGCCCTGACGGCGATTCCTCAATCTTTTCGCAACGGTTGAGACATGTTGAGACGGATAGATTATAGATCGGGGTCTTTGTAAAGTGGTATAGAAACATGATACAAGTGGCAATTGTCGTAAAGAATTGTCATCTCACTTTGGTGTATCCACCGGTTGGACCTATTCCCGCTCTGAACCTTCCCTGCTGACGGGGTTTCCATCCTGAATTCTCTAATAGAGCCATGCAGAACCAGCGTCAGCATCTTATTGGAACATCTTTGATGTGTTTTACTATGTTCATTCATTTATTTATAGTTTATAACTCCATTTGGAACCCCGTTTTGATCCATCCCTGGTCCATGGGTCACCTTAGGGTGGCTGTCGGCAAGCGGCCCCAGATGGATCACCATTAGGATCCCATCAGAACCATTAGATAAGTAACAAACAGTTTTTTTAGCTCCATGTTCTAAACTTATTCAAGAAATAACTCCATTTCAGAACCATAAAATATCCGCCATATCTGGTGGACGGATATTGTTACCATGTGTTGACCATTCATTGATTCATACCCTGACAAACCAAACCAATGTACCTACCTTACTGGGAGGATCATCCCATGGATTGTTCCATCAGTGAATTATCCATTTTGAACCCATCTATAACGATGAACTTCTGTGCAGAAATGCCCTGTTGTGCTCCAAAAAAAGGGTTTAGGCTCCAAAAAGCATCCCCTACAGTCTCAGAAGGTGTTTGGAGCTCTATAGGATCTATAACTTATACAACTACAATGTGGGGCACCCGAGATAGCTAAGTTGGCTTATAGCTCCAATAAGCATTTTATACTATTACCCCCAGGCCGGGTGTGCCGCTCGAAGGGGGCACACCCGGCCTGGGGGTACATCAATAAATATGACATATATATATATGTATATGACAAGGGTATTAGGGAATATTAAACTCCCCCCGTTAAACTTCACATTCAATTGGGAAGATCAACAAGGGTTTTAGGGAATATTAAACTCCCACCCCAGTTAAACTTTACATTCAATTGGGAAGATCAACCAATGTTGTTGATGTTGATGTTGATGATGTTGATGTTGTTGATGATGATACTGCTGATGATGATGATGATAATGTTGATGAAATGAGGAAAAAACGTCATCCGTTTGCCCAAACGAACGACACGGGGAATCTCACAAAACATTGGCCCTGCGCAGTCAAAACGCACTTGCCCGGGCAGGCCGCTATACTATTATATATATAATATAATTAATTATAATATATATATATATGTATGGTTTATGAATGTTTATGAATGGTTTTAACTGTTCATGAATGTTTATGAATGTTCAATAATGTTTATGAATGTTTACGCATGTTTATGATTGTTTAAGATATGTATATATATATACACTTATTATATACTTATAACTTGTAACTATGGTTCATGAGGTTTATTATAAGCCAACTTATAACTGGGGGGCCGGCGGGACTCGTATCCGTCTGCCAAGGACTGTGACGTATGTCGTCGTGATGCTGACGGCTGGACGGCCTTTGACTGGGCCATCTCCCAAGGCCCGAAATACCAGTTGTAAAGTACCAGTTGTCCAGAGAAAGTGGGTTGTTACTGACCATTAACTACTAACTGACTGGGTTCTTACTGACTTACTATCACCAAGTACCAGTTGTAAGTCAGTAAGTCACGACAGATACAATAGTCACGCCATAAAAATGGAATGATAAGCCCATAGAAATAACCAGATATCCATTTACAATTGGTAAAGGGCCTTCACTGGGGACGGTTTTACTTTTTTGTTTGTACCTCATTAGAGACATTCAATGACTCAGGAGCCAACACGGAGCCATATCTCTAGGGACACCCAAAGCCTATATTCGATGGAATCTATAGGAACACCCAATGATGATGTTGCGTTCATTCCCATAATCTTACCTTATCAGTTTTATTTTTTTTATGGGTTTCATTATATACTCCCACCCCCTAATATAAACCAACCCCATTGTATGGTCCCAATGATGAATAAATCCCTACATCCACCGTGGCTTCCCGTGGGGTGTTTAATATGAACGGTGCAAGTGATTAACATTTATAAATGTAAGCATCATCATGTTTCCCCTCCAAGTTACTGTAATGACGAATCTCCAACCCTGTTTTCATGCTTCCATCCTAGTGATGTTGATAGATGAAATGAGAGGGGTACGCATCCCCCCCATGTTTACCATGTTTACCCGCAACCATTCAAGGTGTATTATGGGGCTGTCTCCAAATTCGGACACCACAAATCTCATAGCTTAGGACATCTTATCATAATTCCATGCTATCCCCGGTTTTGAGACAAACCTGACAAACCCTCAATGAAAAGATACATGATTTTCCGCATGTTTCCTCAGAAATCATCCAAATTGTTGAGAGAAGTGAATGATTGTGTTTGGAAAGGGTTGGTCCCACCACTAAGAATTCGGGCATGGTCAGCAACAGCGTGAATATTTTCCAACGGGGATGGTCGTTCCGTCATAGGAGTTTTTCATGGTACACATATTGTCAATGGCCATTTCAGGAACCTAAATTGGAGGTACCTACCATACATAAGGCCTATGTAAGGCCTATGCAAGGGAATATCCCCACAAAATATGGCCAAACATATGGTACTAACGTACCTCCATTTTAGGATCCTGAAGATCTCCCATTGATATTGTGAAGGAATCCCATTCATTTGGATGATGGTTGGCATTGGGGCAAGTATCCCAAAATATCCCATGCTCAGATATAGACTGGGATATTGATGGGATAATACATAGACTGGGATAATAGTGGGAGAATAGTGGATGATTATGGGACAACTATAGCTGGGTATATAAATCCCAAACTGAATGGTTGAGCCGTTGAACCTGTGCTTTTCTTCCAAAGGTCACGAAGACTTTGCGCTGCAGCTGCTGCAGCAGGGTCCGCAGATCGCCTATGCCTCCGGCCGGCCCTTGGCGTCCTTAGCGCGGGTGGCTGGGTTGCAGCTGGGCGTTGAGAGGTGTTCGGCTGTTGAGAAAGTGCTGAATGATTGGCTTTGAAAGATCTGGAAATTGGAGACTTGTACAAGTCATCACAAACTATAGAATGAGTATGAATGAGTATCTTCCCGCCAAAATTATGCATATTAAATATGTGGGTTGGTGTATTTTGTTCGTCATCCTTCCAGCTCATTGCCATGTGGCACCAACATGATGACTTGCCATAGGTGCCAGCCAGAAAGGGTTGATATATGTTGAGTTTTGATATGTTATGATGATGATTTAGTTAAACAACAGGTGATTTGTATTGTTTTGTTATTGTTTTCTTCTGTTGATTTATGCCCAATCTGCCCAGATTCTGAAAGTACGCATACAATCTGTAAAAGAAAGGGAGTGCACGATCTTTGGTGTGACCAATTCTAGTGGCTACGGTAAGGGTCCAGGCAGGTGAATGAGCTGAGGGGCTGAGGTGCAGATGCAAATGAAATATGATTTGACAGGATACAACAAGGGATACAAATATACTGTAGTATACCCTAATGATCATAGAATATCATAGATACTTACTTCTCAAATGGACTTACAGGAACCGACAGAATTATGGAAAAAAAAACGTTTCAATTTACAGGCGCCGCCTGTCTATGATAGAAAAGTTACGAACCTTTTTTTTTCCATAATTATTTTTCCATAATTATTTTTTTTCCATAATTCTGTCGGTGACTGTATGTCCATCGATTCGCAATTTGAATGCATTTTAAGGGGGAATATGGAATTATAGAAAATATGTGTCTAAAGATCTGGTATATGCCCCTAAGTCTTCCATTGATATACATAATATCATGTGATGTTCGCAATTTGAATGCATTTTAAGGGGGAATATTGAATTATAGAAAATATGTGTCTAAAGATCTGGTATATGCCCCTAAGTCTTCCATTGATATACATAATATCATGTGATGTTCGCAATTTGAATGCATTTTAAGGGGGAATATTGAATTATAGAAAATATGTGTCTAAAGATCCATGACATGTCCAACAGGTGGAGCCCCAAACATTAATTATGGAAAAAATAATTATGGACAAAATAATTATGGAAAAAAAAATTATGGAAAAACCGGTCAATCTGCCCTAGCCCCCTGATTTTACAGGAAAAATCAATTATGGAAATAATGGCCACCTCCAAGAATTATGGAAAAAAAAAAGGTTCGGATCACTTCCGGGATATTTTGAACCCTTATGGGGAAAAACCTAATTATGGAAAAATCGGACGCAGGCGCCGCCTGTCTAAGTTGAACGTTTTTTTTTTCCCATAATTCTGTCGGTGACCATAACTCCCTAAATTATACCCCAAGTATTCCTCAGAAGATACGGCTGGATCTAAAGGAACAAATAGCTACAAAGAACATCAGAGAAATAGCCGTTTGTTCTGGAATGTTACACAATCATTTAACCAATCAAACCATTGTTTTCCGATTCAAATGCCGTCAAAATCCCGTTAAACAAAACTATCACATGCCGTTAAAATCCTATTGAATCCTATCAAATCCCGTACAGAAATCCATTGAATTCCCGTGAAATCCTATCAACATCCTTTAAATCAACACAAAATCTTATTTTACATCGCATTGAAATCATCTTCCATCCCAAACAAAATTTGTTTAGATCCCATCAAAGCCCCATCATTAAAAATCCTTTAAAATCTACAACTTCCATCCCAATCTCCAGGTGTCGCGTCACAACGGCCTGATCCACCTCGCCGAGCTACTGGAGGCAGAACCCGTGGCAAAGGCCGAGGCGGCCTTCGAGCAGATCCTGCGCGGGGGAACGGCGCCACTTGGGAAACGACCGGGAGATGGGGGATTTACTTGGAACATTTCTATGTTTCGAATTTAGATGCTCCAATCTCAGTAATCTACAGGAATCTCAGTAATCCTTGTTTGGTTTTGTTGACCTGAAACTAATTGGCAGCTCAACGGTTTCATATGGACCCTATGGATCCAGCCGTACATTCTGAGGACGTTTGTGAGGTATGAACTGTGGAGTTGAGTACCTTCTCGCAAAATACTGGATATGTTTATTGGAATACAGTACCTGCTGGTAAACTGGCATAGCTGTGGAACATCATCATTTTTCAAGTAAATCAGCAAACAAAACGACGCATTTTCCATAGCTATATATGTTGAATTAGCGGAAGGTATTCAATTGTAATGGGAAGTTCAATGGCGATTTCTATTCGATGAGTTTGAACATGTCAAGCAAATAGATACATCAATAATGGGGATATTAGATGAGATTCTACTGGATAAATAGCTTTAATATGATTTAACCCATAGAAATGGGATGTAACCTATCTAATTATACAACAAATAGACATTTGATTATAATGGTTTATGGGGTTTTAACCTGATTTAACAAATCCGAAGCAGGATAACAAACATGGATTCATCACATGGATTTTTGGATTTCATCTGAACAAACAAGTGGAAACAGAATTGAGCAAGCCATAGAAACACAGTAGTGTGTTTTTTTTTATGTGTGTGTGAAAACCGTTATAACAAACGGTCAGTTGTTCGGTTCCTCATTTTGGCATTCGCAGGGGGCCCGTGGGCTCATGGATGGCACAGGCCAACGAAGACCCATCCATGATGTCGTGTAAACGTACCTGCACTTTGGTTTGAACTGTTGACCAAGCTGTTCCAGTTTGATCAAATTTGCTGCATCAATCCTCCAGTTTGACCAGTTTGATCAATTTTGCCGCATCAATCCTCCAGGTGACTTAGGATATTCCAGGCGTCGACAAGCTCAACTCTCTAACAGAAATTCCCACAGTGTGCAGAAACGAATGGTGAAGAAGGAACTGCCGGTTAACCTTTCAACAGGTAGAACAGGTTGAATTATACCAACCTATTAGCTTGGATTGTAGGATCTAAAGGGGACATCTGCAGGCAACGATGGTTTTACCCGCATTTATCAGTGTTGAAAACATGCAGATTTACCGCACAGCAATCAGACAAGAAAATATGGAAAAAACATTGGAGAAATCATAGGGGTAATTATTCAGAAACAACCATTTTTCATCGTTGCTCAATATCTATGTCAATTTGCTGGAGGGTGTTTTCACCAAGAATAAACGTGTGAAACATGTGATGTGACCATATATGGCTTAAACAAATGTTGATGTGAGGACGAGAAATGTGATCCTCACCAACAAAAGGATGGTGTTAAGACCCGTCAATGATGGAGATATAATGAACTCACAGGCTGTCCGGCCAAGCCCTAGAAATGATGGTTCTGAGGGAAACATCGGACAGATGGCCAGCATGCCAGATTCACGAAGCAAACTATCAACTCGATGGCGCAAAAAACAAGTTTGGAATTAATGGTGTCTGTCACAAATTGAAGGATACCAACAAAAATACCAATTTCATGACGGCGGGAACACAGAATATTCAACATTGTTTATTAAATGGTGTGTGTTTCCCTATAATTTTCAAACAAAACCAATTGATTCCCAGTGAATGGGCCCTGAAATTCACAGTTGCAGTGGTTACAACATGGGTTGCTGGATCAACAGATATCAGCTATACACAGACTTTTTAGGTCAATGGAAAATCCCTTGACCAGTAATTTTTATCTTCACCTGGACCTGCAGAGGTTTCCATGGGTTTTGACTGGTCTTGACCCTGATGGTGGTAGTAAATTCCTCGTGGCGTGGCGCTAAGCTGAGGACCGAGTTACAGGAGCTTCTGCTGCAGGGCCGCTTTCGCCTCAATAGTCCCTTGCAAGTCTCCGACTTTGCCGGAAGTTGGCCATTGCAATGCAGCTAGGCACCAGTTGGTTGTGGGTGTGAAGTGGGGGAGACCAAATAGCCAGTTTGATAGGCAACATGATTCGTAACTGTGAACCAGCAAAATTTGGCATAGGCATAGGTTTTTTTCAGACAAAGCCAGGTAGTTCAAAATATTTCAAGATAATTTCCCTGACGGAGTACAATCTTGTTTTTTTCTGTTACTGTACATAAGTATAACTGTAGAAATTTCCCTCTCAGTTTGAGGCAATGTCGCTGGATAAGTTTTCGAGGAACCCTTTTTTAGAACGTGGCTAACTCCAAAAAATCCAGAACACGTTACCAGCAGCGTGCGCACAATCAGTAGAAAATCACAGGAGGCACACCACAAAGAGAAGAAGAAACCATGCAATACTGCCCAACTATTGACCCTTTTACTTTTTTCAGCGACTTTTCGATCAAAACAAGGGTGTTCTCCTCAGCACTGAGGTTGTTTGGAGCTTTCTCGGCCTGACCTGGCCTTGCAGCTGTTGCGCTGGCAGGCCCATCCAGATACCGCAGCCGGAAATGTTTCAACACCGCAGGAGGTCTTGCAGCAGGTGGCACGGATGGAATGTGTGGAGATGGGACCTTTGGCAGAAAGTTTAGAGGGATGGATTTTACCTGGAAATTTGGAGAACATGTAAAGGCTGTTGCGAGATAGCCGGATAGCCTTGTAGAATTTCGTAAACAAATTGCTGGTGGTGGGATGCGTTTTGCCTGGAATTTGAGCATGTGGAGGAATACGTTGAAACGATAGACTGTATTGTACATCAAAAAGATGTTGGAGGGATGCCTTTTGCTTTGAACATATGTTGAGGTATCATTTGTGTACCAAGATTTATGGATACCGTTTATTTATGTTTATTTTATACCTCACCCAGAAACTATATAATGGAACAACATTCCGATTCCCAAGACCGAATTATCTGACGGATGTGTTTTGCTTTGGCAAATGCAAAGAATAGATGTTTATGCGGATCATTCAGAACATGACATCCAATACATCAGATGAATTTAACCAGCTAAGCAGATCATCCACGCCGAGCAGATCAGCCGCAAGCTGAGGAGAAATTCTTCGTCTTCTGACGCTGCCTACAGCGCAAGCCTTGCCCCGTTTAACCCCAGCGCCCGCACCCATCGCAGCAGCACCACCACCGCCTCCACTGATGGTTCCACCACCAGTCCTACCACGGCCACCACTGGCGCCTCCATTGCCGCGCCCACCGCCACTTGTGCCACCTATGCCACCTGTGGCACCTGTGGCACCAGTTGTGACAGGACCAATCCTACCGGCTGCGCCACACCCTTTGCCACCAGCTGTACCGGGGCCTGTGCCACCGGCTATGCCGCGGCCACTCCCACCATTTATGCCACAGCCAGTGCCACCCACTCCGGCTGTGCAGCCGGTGATGCCACCAGCCTTGCCACCAGCGATGCCACTGCTACCGGCAATGCCACCCGTAGTGCCACCCGCGATACCTGCCGTACCACCGGCCGTGCCACCAGCTGTCCCACGGCCAAGAATACCAGCTGCGTCACCTTTCCTTCGTCAGTGAAAAATGAGCGTGGCATGGCGTGGGGTTGCCTGCCGAATCTGTTGAGGATACAGAGCAAAGTTAGTTTGTACCCCCTTGAAACCGTATAATATGAAAAGCGGTTGCGAACACTTGTGCTGGAAGCTGATGAGTATATAAATATACATATATATATATATATATATGTGTATATATATATGTATATATATATATATGTATATATATACACATATATATATATACATATACATTTATATACATATACATATATATATATAATCATGGTATATATCCCACAAAAATAGATGGGGACCTGGACAAAAAAACAATATTTGATGTGTTCCCAGAAACAATGCTGGTGTTTAGCCTTCCGATGTCCCATGCCATCCATGTCTAAATTTAAGGCATTCATCAATTCCGCCTTTGAAAATTGCATTTTTTGCAGTATCCCCCGTTCTTGCAGATACCCATGCATCAGTCCCATGGATGGTTTAGGGTTTACCATGTTCAGCGAGGACCAGAGCAGGGCAACCTTCAAGCAGGGCACGGTTTTGATGCAGCAAGGGAGCCCCAGCGAGTTAATCAACGACAGCAGGGACCTACCGTAAACAGGAAAAAACATCAACCAACCGGCAGCAATGATTGGCAACAATGGGCAAGTAGTCAGTCAGTTTGCTCTTTTCTCTTTGCCATAAATTGAGAAGAGCATACTGAGCCAGAGATAAATGAACCACAATGGAACTGCAGGGTGTCCCCAGAAAAACCATGCGAACTTTGTGGCTGAACAGCCTCCCTAGTTGAGTTGGTTCATCAAATTGACACCAAGTAAGCTATCAAAGATACCATTGTGGATTGATTATAGGGAATTGTGCTGGTTTAATGGGGATGATAACCCATAGTAAGGAAACCTATCAACCAACCAGTATTAAGACAAGGGATAGGGGTATTTTCATGGCTCAAGTAACTCAGCCCTATAGCAAAAACCCTTGCAGCGGATTGAACCTCCCATGAGTTTGCCTCTAGTTTCAGACATGAAGCTAGGTATGGACATGACCGTTGGGGCAAACCAAATAAGGTATTATTAATCATGAGTTGTACTCATATATATATATATTTACTGTATATATATATATACATATATGCTTAAACATATATATATATATATACACAGTCTACTACAATATATCTACATATAGTGAAAAATGATGTGTGTATATCTGTGTAAATATTGAGAATATCGTATAGATAGTTAAATATGATGTATATATATATATAATTATATAAATATATATAAACATTAATATGTATTTTACAGTTTGGATCTAGATGCTTCTTGGGAGGGAACCTAAGCCCCCAAATCATACCCAAACTCAGAAAGTCTTGGAGTACTTGAATCTATTTTGATTCGCATATAACACATGCATACATACATACATATATACATATATATATATATATATTATATATACATACATACATACATACATACATACATACATACATACATACATACACATTCATACACATTCATACACATTCATACACACATACAGTACACACATACAGAACACACATACACACATACAGACATACATACATGCATGTATGCATGTATGTTTGTATGTTTGTGTGTGTATGTGCGTATGTGCGTATGTGCGTATGCATGCATCCATCCATCCATACATCCATACATACATACTGACATACTTCCACACATGCACACATGCACACATACACAAATACACACATACGCACACACACAGTCACATGCATACATGCATGTGTGCATGCATACATGCATACATACCTACCTACATACATACTTACACATAATATTATATACATACATGTACATTGTATCTCTAACATGAATATAATATATATATATATATAATATATACATTCTCTATTTTATTTATATGTATACATTACTGTATATTAAATGAATATAACTGACTACATACGATAAGTACACATTGATCTCTATAAATATTGAGTGTCTTTTGATAGGAGTTCCTCTATTTTTTTAAGCCCTTGTGTCGTTAAACCGGACTGACTCACCTGCAGACGTTGCATTTTGTGCCGGCCGGAAATAGAATGTATAGGCAAGATTTGGGATACATAGTTGATTATCCCAATTAGATATATAGATATCCCATAAATATTCGAAATATATTTAGATACAAGTCTGGGTAAAATATAACGACCTCACTGCGACCTCACTGGAATCCGGGTTAGTAAGGCGAATCATCTCCAAATGGCCTTAATTCAGGTTAGTGAAATATTGTAATTTACCCATGGATATATTTAGATATAAGTGGATTTCTGGGAAATAATTGGAATATCATGGGGAACATAGTTGGAATATACCCAGCATTGGGGATTTGATGGGTAGTGGGAATATATAACCAACAATGGCATAATGGGGACATATAGTGGGAATGTCTGGATAAATTATAACCGCCTCACTGCAACGCTACTGGAATGCCTTATTGGCCGAACCTTTCAGCTTAGTGAGCCATTCAAATTTACCGCTATATAATGATTTTGAGCACGAAAGCAACTATAACTGACCATTGTTCCTTAGATATCATCAATTGTTACCCTCTGTTATTTTAACATAGCTATAGAAAATGGCCGACTTATAGTTGATTTACCCATGTTTTTTTTTATGATTTTCCATAGCTATTCTAGTTTACCAGAGGATACTAGTTTTTTTTTGCAGAACATGAATTTTGTTGCCAGGTTTGCCATCATCTATGGCATTCTGGGCCTATGGGCCATTTTCCATGGGGCTGCATCCCACTTAGTAAATGGGTTATACCCCCAATATGCCCCAATTATATATGGAATATCCACACTTATTATATATATATATATATTTAATGTGTATATTATATATATATATTATTTATTAATGTACATATTTATGGGATTATAGGGCATACGGGTTTTATATGCAGTATAAACCACTTATGAAGCGGGATGCACATCCAAGTAGGCTATTAGTTTACTGAAAAAAAATCACCCCTCCCCATGTCTGTCAGGCAGCTCCTCGTCAACGCAACGAACGGCCTGGATTCGGATGGCGAGAAAGCGGCTTCGCAGTCGCAGACGTCGCAGTGGGGCGTCCCCAGTGAGGCTGCGATCCATCAATATGATATCCCATGATATCCCAATATGATTAATATTGGATAGTAATATTATTATATCATAATTATTTCCTTTTAAACACATTGAAATATGTTGTTCTTGATGCCTTTTCGTGATGGACCTCTCAGTCATGAATGCAAAGACTTGGTTTTAAAGGCAGAACATGAGAACTGGGAAACATTTTTCACCGCATTATGCCCTCCAAATATCAATGGTTGAAGGAACAAGTTGCAGTAAAGCCATATTTCTGGGGTTTAAAACCATATGTTTCTCAAAATGTTCCCCCAGGTCAATCCACTCATGAATGGTCGCAACTCCAACAATTTATTCCAGTTGTCGGTAAAAAATGCCATCCGGCTAATATTAAACACCACCAAGAAACCATGACTTAATAGGGGACGAAACAACATATTTGGGACTATCGAAGGGGTTATGGGTATTTAATATTATAGCGGGATAGGATTATAGATCCTAGCCACATTGCTGACCGTGGATCACAGAATCGGTTTAAGTTGTTTTTTTTAACACGAAATCACCATGTTTGGATTGTAAGACTTTTCGTTTGAATTGTAGATTTTCCATAAACCATGGTGAATGAGAGGAGGTTATAAAATGGGAATAGAGACAATGTGGTTGTTTCTGCATATACCCAAAAAAACATGTTGTTTTGTTTTGAACTACTAAACATGCAGTCTTCACCTTTCCAAACAAGTGCTGATAGAACTAGGAATCATGGTGACTGGTTGGTTTTTAGAGGTTGCCCTTGGAATCGAAAGTCACTGTGAATACCAGCCAGTTTCAATGGCAGTTGACCAATTTTGGGAACTGTCCAACAACGCCCGGTCGCCCTGTAAACGCACGCCTCCACAGCCACTCTGTGTCTTTTTGTTTCACGGCAGCCATGAGTTGTTTGAGTTGCTATATTATAACAATCCCCTGGTTTTGACATTCAACAAGTTTTGTCGTTCTTGTCTGTACAAGGCGAACGCTGACATGACAAGATTGAATGCAAGACAGGGTGTTCGAGAAGCCGCTTTGCAGCTAATTGGTGGATTTGCGAGTGAGCAGGGCTCATGCGACCTGAGATGTTTTTGCGGCGCAATTGGTTTTTTACTCGGGAAATTTCATGAAATTTCACTTTCAGTGGCATTGTCAACCACCAACGATCAAAAAAATGAGGGCTTTGTTCAAGGCAGCCGGTCTTTTCAAGACTTTTGAAGCGTTTGCAAGCGCAAGAGAAGATCTTGTTAACGGTAGTATAAAGATGGTGCGCAAGTGCAAGAGAAGATCTTGTTAACGTAGCATGAAGATATGCAAAAGAATATCTTGTTAACGTAGCACGAAGATAGTGTGCATGTAAACATGAACGTTAGTAACCCACCCCACCCCCTCCACCCCACCCCACCCTGTTGTATGCAGTTGTTAACGTAGCATGAAGATAGTGTGCAAGTGCAAGAGAAGATCATGTTAACGTAGCATGAAGATAGTGTGCATGTGAACATGAGCTCACCCCCCCACCCCACCCCACCCCAAAAAACCGTGGTATTCGCGCGAAAAAGCGCTCAAAAACACGCAGTTACTTGCTGTTGTGCAGTCTGTAAAATCGCGCGTTTACGCGACGACCGAGCCTCCAACGCCCGCGACGACCAAGCCTCCAACAAAGGAGATTCCAAAACTCAAAACGACTGGTTTGTTCAGCAGGTGAATTGATATTTTCTTCCAGGATTGCTGGTGCATACCTCTTCTATGATGTTTTTCCCCGCATATCCCGCTGTAACCCACCCAGTAGACGGACGTCTTTTGGGGCCCTGCTTTCGGTGGGCAGCAATGGATGTATATAAAGCGATTTATTATTTCATCCATCTACCGTAGTAATCTGCAATGAATATCCACATTCCCATGATTGATGAATGACCAGTGAAGTATTTCCCCATACATCCCCTAACTATATAATTACATATTTGTATTCAACCCCACATACCCTCCGGTAATCAAATATGGCAATGGAACAAAAAACCTATTTAATTCGGAGATTTGTTCCATTCGAACCTCCATTGAGTTCGGGAATTTCCCAGCTTGCCATGCTTGAAACTCCATTCAATCCCACTGAAGCATCACCTTTATTGCTCAAATCCCCATTTTTGTTGGTAAATAACCATAGATCCATAGATCCATAGGGTATATCCAAAACACATGGAAAACTCAAATCCTTCAGGCCCGGCACCCAAGGCCTTGACACCTCTGGCGATGCAACGGCCGTGCCGTTCATCGTTTGGCTGGCCGGTGCATCGCCACACTCAGCAGCGCACGGACGCTGAAAAATCTGTGAGGTGATGCACCAGAACAACGGCCTTGCAGGTGGTAGGTTGCTCAGGGTTCCTTATTTGCCTTGTTCCCTTTATATCTGCATCTAAGTACATTTACAATATATTATTAATTCAGGATTTCAGTTTTTTTTTAAATTATTAAGTATATTCATATATATTCATATGGCAATACACGTATATATAGGGTTTAGATATGTATATTAACCTAAATAACGTTTTTAATGGTATATACATATATATATATATATATTTAAATGTTACATATAATAAATCACATTAAGATATGTTACTCTTGTATATATATATATATATGAGCTAAATATACAGTACTATACCTAAATTCATATACTGTATTTTTCAAATTATATATGTATACATGTTTAATCATATTTAGATATATTTAGCATATGTCAATTTTTAGGGTCTGTAGCATAATCAAGAGAGGTTTAATGTGTTTTTCAACCCCAAGAAACAGTGAATGAAGCATTACCATGAACCGGATTGTTTGCCATGTATGGAAGCAAGACAGGAAAGGGGAGGGTAACTTACAACAACTGGACTTAGCATGAAACATGCGGGGTTGTTTTTCTCTCAATGAGTGGTGAATATACCGTCCAGGAAAAAACATAACAAGCTGGGGCAATAGGGAACCCAAAGGGGTTTGGAAGATGCTGATCCTATGAGAAACAGAACATCCTTTTGGGTGGTAAAATATGAGGGTTTTGGGCCAGAAAATGATCTCTGGCTTTCTGGATCTTCCCCCCAGAACTTTCTGCTTGGGATTTTTTCAGAACTCCTCAATAATCTAATCTATCGGACCATTTCAAAATCACCACTGTTCATTCACAACAATTCCAGAAATTTTGAAGATTGCCCCAATTCCAGAACACATTCCAACATCACAACAATTCTACCGATGATGTGCCCCAACTCCAGACAGGTCCCATCTGCCAGGGTGGCGGTTTTGTTTTGGAAGGCTGCTAGAGCTCTGATGACCAATGGTGAAAAACCATCCCTACGGATCCTTAAAGACTCCGGGAACCACATATTTTGAAGCTAGGACTGGATCCATACATAGGCAATTTGGTTATTTGGTGCATCCTACTGTGGAAGAAATCCTGCACCAGTTGATAGGTGGTGAACATCCCATTATTTATTAGGGTTTCAACCATCCTTTTGGTGGTGTAGGATTTTCTCCCTGAGTATTTCCACAGAACATCACAAAAGAAAACGAGTCCCCTAAGTGCATTATACTGTTTATAAACGAGTTATAACTATATGGTCACCAACCACTTACCATTCACCTCACAGATGTGCACAGTGAAACAGCCCCGATTACAGCAGCCCCTTTGCAAACGCGTGATTTTCCGCATGTGCCTGGGACATCCCCTTTTTGAATGCCATAGCCTGGGATATCAATGCATGCTACAAACCATCCAAAATCGGATATGAATGATGAACACTCTATGATGTCACCACATTATATATCTGCTCATATCTTTTCCAACACATTCTAATTATATGTCTTTATTTGTCAGAAATGGACACATATATTTCTTCACGATAAGTTGTCCTTTAAAAACATGTGACCATCATGGGACGGTGCCCAGCCCTGACGCTGGCATTTTTTTCATGCCAGGATTTTCAGTACGGATTTCAACCAATCCATGATGGGAATCCCAAGCAACGAGTATGGTTCATTAACTTTTATTCAATGAAAGAGGCTTTCAAAAAACATTCATTTTTCACCCAGGAACACCACGGTTTTTCGTTGCTACCCGAAAATCACCCACGGGCAGATTTTCCAGGAAGATCAGCAAGAAATTTCGAGCCAGTCGACGGAGCAGTGTCCGAAAACCATGGGGATTTGCATGGCCAAAAGTCGTGTGCATAGAAAGTTTGATCAAGGACAGTGATATATATATATATATACACATAATATTTATATATATATATATACATATACCCAAGAAGTCCTAAGACCTCAAAAAGTTTTCTCTTAGACTTGCTGGGATATATATATACATATGTCTTTGATATTCCAAGCGTTGCTCCCGTAAGTATCCGTAAGTGGTTTCATCCTGCGGGTGCTCCATTTGTTCACCATAACAGCGACATGGCGTACGTGAGGCACCATTAAATTTGTGAGGCGCCATTAGATTAGATGATTATTAGATTGTGCATTTGCATCTTGATTGGGGTGGATATGGTGGATTCTGCGGTTTGTTTGAATGTGACCGCTGGCAGAAATTGATCACACGCCAGGGTAGTCTTGAAATGAGGGCGCTCGGTCATGTCAAGATGACATGAAGAACGCACAATGTTGTTAATCCCATTCCCCTTAACAGTACCACCCTATTAGGATCTCTCAGGCCGGCAAATTTTATAGATCAGATTTACTAAACCAAGGTTTCTAGTTGTTTCATATTATGGGGAAGGGAATGCATAGTAATCAACCCACATGGTAGTGGATGGAAGAAGGGATTTTAATATTCCTTGACGTGGGCCATGTCCATTGTCCTTGATATACAACATATATAATTATTTACATAATATATTATATACAGTAACATTAAATAATATCCTCCCAAACCAACCTGGCACTTGGGAAAAACCTGTTTATCTGACTGAATCGCGGTTCATGATCCTCTCAAGAATTGGATTCGCCAGATTTCTGGAGGGTCTCCAACCCATATCAGCGTTGACATTTCATGTAGGTCTCTAGGACTGGGATTTCGGAGGCTGCAACGTCTAAACTGGCAGTGGCATTCAACTGCAGTGCCAGCATAATTATTATTAATGAATGCTCTCCAATTGATGGAGTTCTCATGCGCGAAAGTCGCTATGAGGACCGGAAATTCCATTGACACTCCTTAGAATCCACAGAAGATTTTACATGTTTTCCATATTCTTCCTATGAGTTGTTATTTTGTCATTATTAGAACAATTATGGACAGACCCATGTATATGGATAGCATCAAGTTGGTACGATCTCCATCATTGTTGGTTTACTTCCAATCTCTCTATTTGGATGTCTGGTTTACACAAAATCTCCACTGGAGGGCCTGTAGGCATGGATCGGGTCTGCCGTCCGCTCTGAACACAGTTTGCGTGAAAGGATGATGCTGGGTTTGGGATGCTGTTGGTCCTAGGGGGAGTGGCTCATGACTCCAGAAAACCACATTTTTGTAGGCTCAAACTTTGAAATGTACTAACCTTTTTTTTTTCGGGGCTGGTATCTAAGATTCATTGACCACGTAAACATCACCTTTACTTGGTTCATTGGAACCCATATTAACTTTGGTAGGGTTTTGACGTATGTAGAGCTCCACAACACAAGAGCCTCCTGCAAGACACGATTTGGTCCCCCAACAGGAAGACAAGTGCTAAGACACGTCGCCACCTAACGTCAACCTCCCTTCGGATGAGGGAATTATATCGAATTACACTATACCAACATGAGATATGTATATCTTAACGTTCGAATGTTGCAGCATTGATACAATTTTCAATGTCTCTGCATGATTCAGCTTGCTTAAGAGGCAGACCAGCTAGACTGTCATGTTAACAGTGGAATTGTCTAAAACATGCGTGTCACGGTCAAAAGTTGGATTAGGTTAACCGTGGTTAACCCATTGGGAGATGGTCATAGCATGTCATAGCTCTATTAATTGGGTTTATAATTACCCTCTGGTTATTTAACATAGCCATGGAAAATCACCATTTTTAATAGGTAAACCATCATAAACCATCTATAAATGTGCCATCTATACCATGGCGAACTGTTAGTCATAACCAGAGAGTACATCAACATAAGGATTCCCCATTTGGGTATGGATCAATACCTATTAATACCAGTTTTAGGGGGATGAACATCCATTTACCAGCTATTTTGATGTTCACCAGGGGTACAAGGTTTTGACACACTGCCATTTCATGGTCGTATGACCACAACCCAACAACCCAGCAATACTCGCCTCCTGTATACCCCATGGACCCACCGAAAACCAAAGGCGCAGGTACCACCAAGGACGACTGGTCGACTGGGAAGTTGGAAAGTAGGCGTTTGTTGAGTCCCAAACCATGTCCCATGTTTAAAAGGGCTGGAACGGCTGAAACGGCTGAAACGGCTGAAACATGAAAAAGTGGTACTTTACATTCCGATCTAGTCGACGAGTTGGCCAGGGGGCCACCAAGTGTGTTCATTGGATTTTACATTCCAACATATTCCAAATACTATTCATTGCAGTTTTTTACATTCCAACATATTCCAACAATCCACAAAGCTCCGGCTGGACAGGTCTGGATGGCTAAAAAACAGCGGTCGTCGCCCCGGATTTCATGGCTCAAGCGGTCAGCTGCAGCCTGCAGCTATCTGTTTAGCGAAAGATGAGGCACCTGCTGGCGGCTTGCGGGACAGAATGAGTTCGTTTGTGGATGGTTAAACGGTTAACCCATAATTTTCGTTGGTGGTTAGTAAATCTTAGTAATGAAGATAGTAATTGATATCCATTAACAAGCCATATGGATAATCATAATGCATGATGTTTATCTCATGTATAATCCCTTCCTCCTAATACTAAACCCCCCCCTAATACAAAACACGGCAGGTAGTTTTTAGTATTAGGGTGGTATTTATTATTAGGGAACCAAATCGAAGTCATGTTAATTAGTTATTCATGCATTAGAATGGAGGAAGGGATTATTCATTTTATACAGATTTCTAAGTAATTCTAATTAATTAATTAGATGCATAATTATGTATATAATTATAGTAGGACTAGCCCCCCTAATACTAAACACCCCGGGATGAATTAGTTTTTAGTATTAGGGGGGAGAACCCACAAATGGTAGGTTGATTTTTGAATTGTTTTTTAAAGGGGATCAATTAAAAGTCAAATTGGCCAAACTGAAATTTTCGGAAATTGGAGATGGATGCCTGTTTTTAGTATTAGGGGGACGTTTAGTATTAGGAGGAAGGGATTAGTCGAATGTCGTTAGCAAAGACACTTGCGAGTTACTAGTGTGATGCACATCCAAGCGGATATATCAGCTTGGATTGTATCGTGGATGGCGGAGGTAAGATCAGGATGCTTAATGACAACGTTGGGCCTTGACCGCAGCAATTTCACAACGATGCGTGTGTGTGTGTAGATATCAGCATCATGCATTATTGACACCATGATCACCATCGTTACCGCCAGCATCATCATTATTACCACCACCACCACCATCATCACCATCTTCATCACCACTATCGACATCAACATCATAACATATCATAACCAACACCAGATCGTGATTGAATATGAAAAATGATAGAAACATATGTGTTATGATGTTAATAGATGTGAACACATATCATAGAAAAATAGAAAATGGCGACATCATCGATGTGAATAAAATTCAAGAGCCTCAAGTTGCGACGGGGCCATGAGGCTACTTACTTGGATGCTCCGAAAGATACGCCCTTGATTTTGCGACACCGTTGAATCATTACCAGAAGGTACCCAATTTGATGGAGATACCATTGGATACACATATCACGGATATATTACAGGTTTTCATAGCTAACTTTTTTTACACGTAAATCATAGTTCATTGATTTTTCGTAGCTATCTTAAATTGCCACACAATTATGTCCCACAGTTTCATTGGATTAACTCATGCTACCAAGGTTACCAAGGTGTTGCTTTTTCTCACTCCAATGAGGTTGATTACAGCCAGTTATAGCTGTTAAACAGTTATAAGTTATATATATATATTATATTATATATATATATTATATATTATATTATTTAAAATATTATATATATATATATATATTTATATATATATATATTAATTATATTATATTATATATATATATATATATTATCTATATATTATATATATATATATATTATATATATACCACTTCAATGAGGTTTATAATCCAGTTATCAGCCACTAGTAACAAATTTTTATAGCCATCTGATCCCCACCTGACATCTGACTCCTCTTCGCCAGGGCCATGTTGCGGCGCTGTGCCGTTGTCACCGCGACGTGCGCGGTGACCGCGACCGCTGCCTTGGACCGGGTGACGACCCAGCGGGAAGCGGAGGAAGTTTGGCTGGAGCCATGGAAGTGGGAGATAAATAATGGTCCCACATACAAAATGTACCATATATATACTATATATACTATATATATAAATATACATATATATATATATATATATATATAATCAGAGAACCAAATCAGCTGGGCTTCCAGCGTAGCAGGGCTATGGGTGGTGAAACACACTTTCCCCACCCGAGCACTGATACAAAACAAGAAATAGCCGTTATGTGCGAAAGTACTTGTCCCGTGGTCATGGCAGATGCCCATTTATAATTAGGGCGGGAAAGCCAAATCTTGTTTCCCTTAGGCTCACTTTTCTGCTTAGTTTCATTTTTTTTTGGAATGTGTAGAATGAGAAGAGGCCTCGGACGGTGCAAGGTAAATGATGGTGGACACAACGTTTGGGGGTCATTAGGCCATCGTCGTCCGCGGGTGTCTTCGAGTCGGCTATGAACCAGCTAGTTTTTGGCATTGTTCCCGACAGAAGTGGACACAGAAGACAGCGCGGCAAGCTCAGCAGTATATAAATGTATACTATGTTCATTGATGATGTGGTTGTCCGTGTGTGAGGCCCTGAAAAGGTTTTTAAGTTTTATCTTTCTAGGTGCTGGGAGAAAGGCTTTATTTCTTGCCATCAGCATGTGACGATTTCTTCTTTTGAAAGATTCTTCTTCTCCCGGCGAAAGGATTCCTCCTTTCCGGCGCCGGGTTGGGAGGATTCTCTTTTTCCCGGCGCCGGGTCTCGCTCCCGGCGCCGGCTCTCCTCCCGGCGCCGGCTGAAGCCTTCCTCCTTTCCCAGTGCGGGGTGGAAGCTTTCTTCTCTTGCTGGCAGAAAGACCAGCAACCGCGGCGACATACAGTATGTTTGGTACATGCTGTTGAAGTACCCCCCAAGGACAAGAAGTGCCCAAGCGAAGGCTAAGGATTTGCTAGTGCTCGATTGCATGGGTCTGTCCTGTATTGGCCATTGCTTGTCATAAAACAATTTTACATTGCAATAGCAGAGGTTGTGGTTAAACCAAACAACATGGGGTCTTGAAATGTGTTCCGGTAGAAGATTCAGTGAACGTTTGCAAGGCTATTTTTTAATCAGAAATATCTGTTCAATGTAGCTAGGTGGGAAACCCCCCAAGCCCCGCTCCACCCAGTGCCCTGCAAATTCTTTCCTCCAATATATATATATATATTTGTTGGATTTTTTTGGTGGGAATACTTTGAGACTTTTACGGTAGTTCTTTTTTTGGGGGAATATTTAAAAGGAAATTCATTGGATTGGTTTCAGGCTTAAGGGAATATTTGTTTCCGGGAACCGTTGGTTTTTCCCACAAAATTTTGGTGGTTTCCTGTAAGTGTTCCCTTAAACCAATCTAATAATCTCATGGTAGATTTTTTACTGTTTTGGGTGGACTACTTAAAATTAATAAACACATATAGAAGCTGAAGACTTAAATCCAAACAGTTTGGGTTTGAACATCACCCTAACCTCATGTGATTTAACCCCGAGGATGTAAGGAGGATATTTGGATACTAATGGGATAAATCCTGATCAGGGAATCATAGATTCATAGATTCTATAATATTATGTTTTTTTGAGGATACTTTCTGTATGAGGATTGAACACATAATAATTTAATTTAACCTGCTAGAAAAACACTAGGTTTGCATGTGTTTGTGACATCTTCATGATATCTTGTTCTAGATGTATCTTCTTGTGTACAAATTGTTGCATTGTTTATAGCGCGTTTTTGGGCGTTTTTTGCTGGCCAATTTCTGGTGCTCAAATCCCCAAGAAACTCTTTCATTCATGTTGTCAAAGCGTTTGTTTTGTGTTGTTTCTCCCGGTGTGATCCAAAAAAATATGTTGCTATCCCATTACTAGTAATACTAAGTATATCCCATGGAAATAGTATGAAAACACTCACGTCCCAATAGTTATTATCCATTCAATCCCATCTACAACATATCACATTATATAAACCCATTAAACACATCCCATTAGTGTTCCCACGTTCTTTCCCCAACGCGGAAGTTCCTTGAGGCCGGCAGTCGGATGCTCTTAAACCTGGACCTGAATGGAGATGGACAGGTCAACCCTGAGGCCCGAAGTTAGAGGATTCTTTCTTGAGTGACATACTAAGATAAAGACATGATAGGACATGATCAGGAGGATTATACATCATCATGATCCATAATAATAAGATCAATCATGCCAGTATTAACATGTATGATATAAAAATACATTGATGCAATATGTATGATTTGGCAATATATCATATTACCATATTATGGCCATATTGTAATATTGTAATCAATTACCATCATTTGGCAATATATCATATTGTAAAATATCATATTACTGGTTTATTACATTAGACATATCATACCAGTATGAAACATGGCAATGATATGGATCCGCTTCGGTGAAATCACCATGGAATATGAACCACCAGAGATTTCATCGGTATGTTATGATATATATATATATAGATATGTAATGTGTAGATAAACATATACACATATTTTACATTATGCATATATATATATATATATTTTATAGATATACATGTATACATGTAAATATATTTTTTTTTTACACATGCAAACTGTTATTGCTCTCGTGGGAGCCTTAGAGGCTCCTTCAGGATGATTTCCCACGAATCCAAAACAAGGCACAGAGAGCCTTCAACGCAAGCCTGGTGATGTGTCCCTGAAAAAAATGCGGAGGGTGCCTCCCCCGTTTTGGGATGCTTGTATGTTGCAATGTTCCCCATAAACTATAATGTCAGGTATTGAGGGATACCAGGTATCCCAGACGGCCCCACACTCACACATCAGTTTTTTCTTTTTTATATGCTTAGTTTTTCAGAAACGATGATATTCATGGTCATTGATTGTTCGTGTTAACACAAAAAAAACACAATCCCAACCAAGAGCATCAACAATTCTACCAACAACTTTTCAAACATCACCAAAACCCTCAATTTTGTCCAAACAATCAAATCCAATCTCAAGTGTTATAGCTAGTGCTAGTTTTAGCTCACTATTATAGCTCTATAGTCTATATGTTCAAAAAAAGTTCACCAATGGAAGAACGGTTGGCTTCCCAGCAGCGTGCAGGAAATGGACCTCTTTGCCCGACAGCACGGTTTGGACCACTTTACGACCAAGGACAGCACCGGCGTGATGGGAGGATAGATGGATCTTATGGTGACTCCATGGAAAACCATGGAAAATCATGGGCAAATCAACATTGGAAAATCCTGGGAAAGCCAACTGTTTGTTGTTTTTCTTTGTGAAAAATCAATACAAATCTTCATAAAGTTGCTGTAAAGGACTATTTCTATGGGGTAGTGGTGGCCAGCGTGGATAGAGCCAGGTTGGTTTGTCGCGTTTTTTTGCCATTTAGTTTCTGGTATTCAGCATAACTAAAAAGATAACCCTACCCCTTAGTATCTAGATATATCTAGATCCTGTCATATCCTGTCTCTGTCAGTGTTTTCCCCGCATGAGGAAACAAACAATGGCGAAATTTGACTCACGGCTACCATTGCTTCCGCGTAAGTCGAAACAATTACAGGTTTTTCGAAACCAAAAAACATGGATTTCTCTGAAATATCTGAAAAAACCATGGATTCCGGTCAAAGTTCAACATGTTTCTTCCAACTCAACGAATACGATTCGGATCAATAAACCCCGATTTCCAGAAAAACCAGAGGCTTAAATCATCCATCATCCCGGGATGGTTGATCTGCGGCACTATGTCTGCCAATGCCCATTCTTTGTGGTTCACCCCAGGAATCCTAAGGGGCTTTATGACTAACCCTAATTATAAGTAGCAAAGGACTAGTTCATGGTGGTGATTTTACCCACTCAAGATTCCCGGTGTGAATGCTTGATATCTGGGACCCCAGTATATGTTTATATATCCGTCTTAAAGTCACCTTATGGCTTGATTTTTGAAAAATAATCAGAACACCCCTCCGATTATAAACAATGTTTTTGCTCACATTAGCCAGATAGAATCAGATAGAACTTCTCGTAGCACCTGGTCTCCAACGGTTGCCATGAATTTCTTTCGAACAATCCCAGGCAATAGGTTAGATTAAGGAAATCAACTTGGCTAGTTGTATCCCAGTATGTATACATGTGTATATATATATATACCTCACTAATATCCCATTGGTATCCATTGATATCCTGAAGCGTACAGCTGGAACAGGGGTTATCATTGATCAAGTTGGCTAATTAATGTTCATTATATATCCGATATTAATCCCATTCTATCTTCATTAAGATCCCATCAATATCCGATGTATTTTCCATGGCAAAATGATGAAGGATCATCCCTGATGAATCGGGATAACCTGGCCACAAATGGCATGAATGAATCCGATGATCCCTGATCATATTCCATTAGTATTGCATGGTTAAGTGATGATTTGGAGGACCCGATTGCAGAAAC